GGTTTTGTAGACGTCACATACCACAGACAGAGTGCTGGTGCAGTATTGGTTTTGTAGACGTCACATACCACGGACAGTGTGCTGGTGCAGTATTGGTTTTGTAGATGTCACATACCTCAGACAGTGTGCTGGTGCAGTACTGGTTTTGTAGACGTCACATACGACAGACAATGTGCTGGTGCAGTATTTGTTTTGTAGATGTCACATACCTAAGACAGTGTGCTGGTGCAGTATTGGTTTTGTAGATGTCACATACCTAAGACAATGTGCTGGTGCAGTATTATGCAAATTTTTGCACAACTACACAGTTATTTTGTGTGTATAACAATTGCTGCTATACAAAATTTTTTAAACAAATTATTTATTGTAACAAGCACTATATAAAACCACTCTAGATAGCTCCATGTAAGGATACTTACCATCCTTAATTAGTTAAAAACCATGGTTAAATTGAAAAATGCAAATGTGGCAAACAGTATAGCCCAGTTATCCAAAGTTGATAACAGTATAGTCCAGTTACCCAAAGTCGATAACAGTATAGTCCAGCTACCCAAAGTTGGTAACAGTATAGTCCAGTTACCCAAAGTCGATAACAGTATAGTCCAGTTACCCAAAGTCAGTAACAGTATAGTCCAGTTATCCAAAGTCAGTAACAGTATAGTCCAGTTACCCAAAGTCAGTAACAGTATAGTCCAGTTACCCAAAGTCGGTATTTCTGTTTTGGTAATGCACACAAATTATTGTAATAAATATGAAGAACTTTACAACCCACCAAAATAACTATAGCAGAAGTTAAGTTAAAGAAAGAAAAATACATATGCCTTCCAGATAGTTGTAACAAATACTACAATAAAATCTTGATAGAGAAGCCCCTGCGCCCTTCAATGTGGTTCACACAGCCTGGCTAGTCTCACTAATACTCAGCTGATTGTCATCAGATGTGCGATCAGAGGCAACAGGGAAAAAAAAACTTTGATTGAAGGCAGTTTTATCATGTGAAGTGCAAGAATGCCTGCTATTAAATCCAGCTAATGTCAAAAAAACGTCCAGATGGTGTAAATGGTCTGTTAAAATCATAAAAGTAGAATTTTTTGCATGATATTCGCACAATTTTGCATTAACACAACTTCTGTGTAGTTCATTGTTATTCAGTAACAAAAATCATCATGTTGATTATTTTCATTCTTCAACCAAATGAAAGAGAGTAACAGTATGTGCAACAAGTATTTCTAAGAAGTTTGTGATAAAAGAGTCATGAAAAAAAAGTTAATGAAGATTATTCTTGCATTAAGAGACATCAAGTGATTAAGATCTGGACAATGAAGTATGGAGACAGCTTGAATGGGTAATGAAAAACTCTACTATAAGTAACAAATGTACAATGTTTTGACAAACTTTTGTCATTATCAGATACCATGATGACGACAAAAGCTTGTCAAAACTTTGTACATTTGTCACTTGTAATAAAGTTTCTTTCTCCACCCACTCGAGCCTTCATCAAACTTCATTGTCTAAAAGCGGGTTCCTCATCATCAAATCTGGATGATGAGTATCACAGCTTTTGTTAGAGAGCTTTACATATTCAAATTCAACTGTGGAATCCAGAAAAGTCAATATACTTGAATAATATAATATTTTATGAAACTCACCAATTACTTCAGAAGTGACTGACTTAAAGTCTATGAAACAAGAACTAATCCACAACTTTACATATAATATGATTATACTTTATGCTAAGGCTCATTAGATTCTCTAGATTTCCTTCAGGAAAAAAGCTAGGCAAGAACAAAACTAAAAACTACCATACCTTTTGGGTTATTTCCTTGTTGGTGGGTGAAAACATGCTACCAAAATGTCCATTATGTTCAATTATTGGTAATGGTGTCATGAATGTTGCCCCCATTTTTGTCATACCAGGTGACCGCAGAGGAGAGTGATCATCAGGTTGAAATCGTCCGAAGCGCTGAAACAAAATAATCTGATTCACAACAATTCAAATAAATATGTAACTAACAGTTGTTTATACTACATATGCATGTATAACCCATAAAAATAAAAATACTCAAATTGAAATTCTGGAACAATTATCATATAAGACTGTTTACAGCATTTAGTGTACCAGTATCACAACACATTTTACACAAAGGAGTTACTGAAACTGACAAGAAAGACAATCTGAAAATAATGAATGATTGAATTATATTATAACATTACACATAAATGGTTTATATGTAATGATCTTTTGCTCCATAACTTCAAACCAACCATTCCTAGTTGTTTACGACATTGATCATTTGGTAGAAATTAATGAAATAAATAAAAATAGTGTCATTTTTTACTTACAAAAGGAATATTAATAATTTGTTTATTGTAATTCATTCATCATATTACTATTCCAACATAACACATTCTTGTTGAGCATATCTGTTGAGATGTAACACATTTCTGTGGAACACTTATGTTCAGATGTAGCAAGTTCCTGTTGAATACATCTGTTCGGATGTAATATGTTCCTGTTGAACACATCTGTTCAGATGTAATATGTTCCTGTTGAACACATCTGTTCAGATGTAATATGTTCCTGTTGAACACATCTGTTCACACCAAACACCAAGAACTTACCAAAACGTTTGTTTTTATTAAGTAATTTTTTCAAACAACAAAGATGGATGACTTATCTTGAAGAATGATAAAATTAAGAGTTTTAAATGTCTATTATTAGTACTCTTCAACATTAAATGAAAAACTTATTAGTAGGCAATTTAAATATTTACAGCCAGATTTTTTATACAGCAGTAAGAATAAGTTAGAAATTTCATCTAATTACAGTTTGAGTGTTGAAAATATAGCTATTTCAAAAAATCATTTAATAAAGACAAAGCATTCTGAGCTTGAATGAAATTCATCTCATTAGAGGAAACATTTTTGATATATACAACTTTCCATGTGCTCAGCTGTTCTTCTGTAGATAAGAAAAAGGTATTTTGATTTAGTTTCATTTGTTCAGAATAAACTTATACCACAGTTACAGGGTCAGGTCTACTTTCAAATGTTGTAAATGTATAGAACTGTTGTACAAAGTTGAAATATGCAGAGAAAATTGAAATATTCATAATTTAAAATAATGCTCAAAATTGATAACAGCTCTGAAAAGTCACAAGGTAAACAGAAAAAAATAAAATACTACACTCAAGTCAGTACCAATTAGCATGTTAAAGTAGGCCTAGCTGATAAAGTGCTAATCTAACAATTACTGAGTAGTATGTTAAAGTAGGCCTAGCAGATAAAGTGCTAATATAACAAGAAAAGCCTACATTTGCAAGGAAATGTGATATTCCCATTCTGATCCACCTTATTCAATAAGATCCTCAGAATACAGTAGATTTCAAAAGAGAATGTTACTCAAGGCAAGGGAAGGGGGACATAATTTACAACATACATACTTCAGAGGGATAGATATTTAACACAGTATCTCTGTGAGAAAGATCTAATTAAGCATACTGAAATGTGACTTTAAAGATACATAGCATGGTCAGTTTCTGTTTAAATAGATGTATACACAATGAAAAAAGCTTATGAGGTAATCTTTGTGCAAATAAGATCTATTTGTTGACAAATATGAAATTTCATGCACTGTGCGAATCAACACTATTAATCACAAGTCCTTGTAACATTTACATATATAGATAATCCCTATAGGTTCAGAGCTCCCACATCACATACAGTGTTTTACCTTTGACCCCTGCAAAATCAAAAGAAAAACATAAATTAAGAATATGCATGTTTTAGTCTGTGAGGGATTGTCACAAACTATTGTTGTGTGAAGTCTCATCTAAATTGATTGGTCTAAACAGAAGAATGGCAGGCCAAAAACACTAATTCTGTGAAATATTTTGACACTTTGACCCCAGTAGAATCAAAAGAAAACCAAAAATCCTCAATCTGGCTGATTTAGTCTGTAGGTGTTGACACAAAGTCTCTTTGTGCCACATTTCATTTGCATTGATGGAATTATAAAGAAACTACAAGCCAAAATATCTGTTTATTTTTTGGTAAAATTTCACCTGTGACCTCCTAAATTGATATGGAGGCCTAAGAAAATAACTAAAAAAGTGTCTGAGCACACCAATTGCTGAAGAACAGACACACTATCTCTCTCTGTCTAACTCATTAATTGGCACTGAAATGATTAACTTATTCAGTCTGGCATTTTTCTATTGTACTTGTTTTCTATGTACTATAAGTCACTTTGAAATGTTGCATCATTATGTCATGAGAACCTTCCTCTAGACAACAAACATATAAATTAAAATATTAAAAATATAGCTTACAACAGTATATTTGTATAGAGCTCATTACAAAATTACAAGAGCAACAGCAAAATAACTCAACCATATTTTACAATAATGATAAGCTGATAAGTAATGATAGCCAACAGTGTAATTACCAAATGTTTAATATACCACAGCCCCATGTAATTATATGGTCCCAAAGGTAGTAATGTTATACTAGTAGTGTACTCTACACATTTCAGTGTTGCTATAAAATACAATTATAACAGTAATAGCAAAAACTTTAAAACAATTCTTATTTTTATGAAATTACATTTGTTATATTAGCTTGAAGTATTTGAAATGACAAAATTAGCATAATTTATAATAAAATTTTCTAATAATAAAACATTTATGAATATATTTGTTATTGTTTCTATACAGAACATGACTCAACATGTCATCCACACATTTTATTCATGAGCATGTACCTGTATTTGGTAAATTGTATTACAAACACGTATTTAGAATTTCAAATAATACCTTATTATTCAGAAAATGCTGTTTCTTCTTTAAAATATTCTACAGGTGTAAATAATATTCACGTAAAAAAAAATATAATTATATCTAAATTGAAAGAAGTTAGGAATAAAATTGGTAAAGGTCTTTAAAATAGAAACATTATGTAACTTATTAAAATGATCCCATTTGATTTTCAACATACTCAAAATAAATTGGAGAGAAAGTGAAATTACATTTCTTTTTTTTACAAGTGAAAATTATTAAATTATGAAAGTAATCAGTCATTTACTATTACCATGCAGCAACTGAGCTTTTAATAATAATAATGTCAATAAAAAGTAATTAAGTGAAAAGTAATTGAAAAAATACAAATTAAAACTTTTATAACTGCATATTCAAAATACTTTAAATTCATTAGTGAAAAGTCTCAGATGCATACAATCTTTGCTCTTTTTCTTTGGAAGTTTCTTAGAGTTGTGCATAAACTGCTGTAAAACCAAACACAAGTACAATAGCAGAATGAAATATCAAAGTAATAAAATATATTTCTAGGCTTCAATCAACAAAATATGAAAATATTATGCTCTAAAGAATGTATGAGTCTGTACATTAGTAAAGTGTATCAGAAATGAGATATTTTTATCGTCAGCAGAAATGCATTTGAGATTTAATTTGGAGAAGGCAAATTCTTACAAAAGTCAAGAGGGTTGAGACCATGGAAAAATCTTGGTGTTTTCTAAATTGGAAATGCAATAATATGTGGCCTACTATGCATATACTGTAAAAGTATAATTTGTACTTTAATAATATTGTCAGGTTCTTCTAATCTGTTTGTGTGACAACTGCCTTTCCTACTCCCACAACTGAACAATCATTCCTGTGACTCATGTCTCACTTTCAGTCTTGGTTAGTCATATTACATGAGCGACAATAAACTTTATAAAGTTCATAATTTACGAATATTTTCGACATATTCATTGGATTTGATTTTAATTTATTGAAATAAAACACATTGAAAAATCATAATTATATTAACGAAATATTATAATTATTTCTAATTTATTTCAAACTTAATGTCTGCTAAACTCTAAAATTCTACTATTTTTTTTTTTTTGGCGTACCTTACTTACGAACTTCCACATATGACTTCTGTCTGTCTTTCTTAGTTCTTTGTGTCGTGCGTTTTAATTTAGGCTTAACTAGTAATTAAAACAGTATCTTTCAGTCCTTATCATATGACTTTAATACAAGTACAGTTAGCGAAATACATACCTCAAGTCTCGCCCTAGCCGTCAGATTCATGTTATTCTATAATCACAATACTTTATCCAGCTTTAAGTTTAATCTTAGCTGGATTTGCAAGTACATGTAAACAACTTACACTCAGTGTACACGGAGTCAATGTTGATGTTTTTCTTCTCAGCTGTTGGTTACAGAATGTACTCGTGTGTGATTGGTTGGAAATTATTATGACGTTGGTAGCCTATTGCATTGCAGCCGTAATGTTGTGGTGAATGGCGAGAGACAGGACAATGACAAAAAATAGGCTAATACATAGTATAGGAAATTTATCACTAACTTCTGTAAAAAAGTCACACGTACTTGATATAAGACTGCTTAAAAATGTCATTCTTGTATAATAACACAAATATTATATAGTTCGTTCATGATGTAATTCAATATTTGTGGAGAAGACTGAAATGCTTATAAAAACAGATGCCTGTTATTTCCGTAACGTGCCAAAATTAAATAAAGGAACTTAGAAGGTACTACAATACGAAATTATATAAACTAATAATGATAATAACACCTTGTGAAGATTTTAAAAGGAAACAGAGTTTTGTTACCCCCGTTTTTCACACTTCATAAAAGCTTGTGTATGTTTATATTGCCCTGATTTCCCTCAGAGTAGCCTGCAGGAACCCAAAAAAATAGGATAGAGGATATGATATACACCATAATAAAAAAAATGTCTTATTTTCTCTGCCTTTATATGAATCTTAATTAAAAGAAAAAGACTGAACACATGTTCACACAATCACAGTCTTTACAAAAGCAAAGTCAAGTTCAAGGTAGCTTCACAACTGAATAGTGCTTTTAGTCTAGTGTGCCCCAAGATCAAGGCTGAGTTACACACGGTTCATGAGTTTGAAGACAAACCAGTCTCTTTTAACAAAGAACTTCGATACGTCTTGGTAAATCTCCGTAAATCTTGCAGACAGATAATATCTCTGGAAACAGTCTAACCCGAATCTCTATAAGCACAAGTCAAATTTCAATAAGAGTGAATCTGGCAAAATCAAACGTCAGTGCACATGCTATCCACGTGACTGCATGAGGGCAGAGCTCAGGCCAACAGAGGGTATGAAATGTCCTCAGCAATCCCATGGCTAGCTGCTACCGGGGTCGTAGCCAAAGTTCAGTTCGGGGAGATATGCCTAGAAAAATACCCCCCCCCCTCATCAAAAAATAACGTTGCCATACCCAGCATTCCGTTTAATTTATGTACATTTTGAGTATTCTTCTGTTTGAGAAAATGAGCGTGTTTTTCTTATAACAAAGTCACATCGGGCTATCTGCTGTGTCCCCCCAGGGGAATCGAACGCCTGATTTTAGCATTGTAAGTCCAAAGACTTACCGCTGTCCTACCGGGGGACTTTAAAAAAGCACCTCAATGGGTCAGCGGAAAATCCATGAGCTTCTAACGCTAAAAGCCGGATTTCGATAGCCATGGTGGGCACAGCACAGATAGCCCAATGTGTAGCTTTCACTTAACAATAAACAAAATCTCTGTTTATCTTCAATATTTTGTTTGTTTGTTTTGAAGTTATGCACAAAGCTACACAATGGGCTATCTGTGCTCTGCCCACCATGGGTATCGAAACCCAGTTTCTAGCGTTGTAAGTCCGCAGACATACCGCTGTGCCACTGGGGGGGGGGGGGCGCTCAATATTTTGATTCACTTTAGTAAACCAACCTAAAGTATTCGTAACAGTATTAAATATTTAAGTAATTCCTTCCTTTTTAGGGTTAATAAATTCATAGAAAAATATTTTAAGTGTATTTTGTGTTTTAAATTAAGGATTTATAAATCCCAGTTGCTATAAATTGCTTATTTAATTTAGGCTAGCTGATACTTGACGTAATTTATAACAATGACAGCAGACGGACTGTAGATTTTGTAAACACGTAAAGTTTTATATTCATATTAAAGTAGTAATAAATAAACATACCCGTTAACCAAATTTATCTCCTTCAGTGAACGAGTTCCGGCCATGTGAGCTTGATTGATATGTTAAAAATTAAAATCTGGTGTTTGGACACTGTATATGCGATGCTTCATTGGACGTTTGCTTGTTGTATTTAAGCACAAAGCTACACAATAAGCTATCTGTGCTGTGCCCACTACTAGTATCGAAATCCGCTATTTAATGTTATAAACTTTCAGACTTGCCGCTGTGCCACTGGGGGCGTACTAAAGCTGGTTAAATTGTATTGTTAGTGGTTATAATGATTGAAAACTGATTCAGAATCCAAATAATTAGGCCTTTGGTTTGAACTACATTTTATATTTGTTTTGATGGTTCGTTGGGTGATCTCAGTGAGTAAATTAGTCTTCTGTTATTTTGCTTTATTGTATTATTTCTCTGCATTCCATTCTGAAGCTTCCTTCTCTTCTGGCCTGGTGGTTAAGGCGTTCAACTCGCAGTCGGAGGGTCGCGGGTTTGTCACCCCCCCCGTCATCATTGAACATACTCGCCCTCTCAACCGTGAGAGCATTATATGTGGTGGTCAGCCCCACTATTCGTTGATAAAAGAGTAATTCAAGAGTTGGCGGTGGGTTGTATTGACTAGCTGCCTTCCCTCTAGTCTATCACTGCTAAATAAGAGAAAGCTATCGCATATAGCTCTTGAGTAACTTTGCGTGAAATCAAAAACAAACAGACAATATTTCTTTCCTTGTATTTTCAAGTTTATAATTATTTAAATCGCTCAAATTTTATTTTAGAGTCGGGGTTTGCGGTTTTATTTTATTCTGAGGTCGTTTATTGTTATTATTATTTTCTAATAGCTGACAATAAAATGTAAGAGCGGTTTCGGTCAATTAATAGTCTATGAATCCTTATAATTTTAGAATCATTATATCCCCACGCCCGTTCTAATAAAAAAACACAGCCACAGTTGCGAACTTTCTGGCCCACCAACTCGACACATTTTATATTACAACTGAGCCGCGCAAATTACAATTTCGAGGGGAAGACATAAAACACGAGTTTTAAAGGTCAGTGCTACTTATTTTTCTCACGAGCTTTGAAAACATTGCATTTCTCATTGGTTATTGCTGAATCCTAGTGCATGTTTTTACACTTCCAAATTTAGAAGTTTAAACATATTGTTTAAGGGTTTCGCCACTCACTAAATGTATGATTTTTTAAATATGAAATGAGCATTTTCGGTGGTAATTGAATACATGATATGTTTATATCTTCTTATAATGTTATATCATTTATTCTCTGTTCTGTATGTGTGCAGATTTCACACAACACGCAATCGAAAAAGGCATTAAGTTAATTTATTCTAAGCTCCTTTGTTGTTCCTTTATTGGTCAATATCTGTCACCACTCGGGATAATATTGTTCGATACGATACTTTGTGTAAGAACGTGTCAATCAATGGCTGTTCAGGTGATATCTAGAGGTTATGGCCCCACTAATGTTGTAATAAGACTGGCCAGTCACCTGGATAATCCTAGTTTCCCTTATGGTACATCAATTCATCTAAAAAAAGGCGAAATTAATTTCTTGATGACCTACTATAATCGATATCTTAAGAGAATATCCTGTTATCTAGTGGACCTCTTTGATAAAGCTCTAAATTTAATTCAATTTTACTTGGATATACTACAGAGTGGATAGGTAGCGAATGATGTGCTGTAATCACAGAATATCTGTCATGTGGAGTTTAGTATATCTCTTTGAAGTGTGTACTGACCTCTACCCATATTATTATGTGATATAAGTTTCATACGTTTCATACTTATGGAAATGGCAATTTACACAACTAGAAGGACTTACAAGCAAGAGAAAGAGTTGGTTGCTGAGGAAAGGTGGATATTCAAGAGAGTTGTTGGGTCTAAAAGGAGCTCTCTCCAGGATATAGGACTTTTGCTGAGGCTTCAGAGGTTCATGACTTTTATATCATTACAATTGATAACCCAAAAGAAAAGCTGCTAATATCTGGTGCACCTAGATCAGCTGTCCATGCTAATCTCCTAAGAATAAACTACAGTGAGGAGCATTGTTAGGATTGCCAAGTCCGTGTATTTCTACTTCCTTCTTTCTAAAGACACTTTAATTTTTGCTGTTATTTTGTGTTACTATATCTTTTAAATGGAACAACATTGCTTAACATAGGTTGATTAAGGAGTGGCATGTTTTGAGAGCCCACAGAGCTTGTTTTTGTTGCAAAATATTGCAACACTGATTGTTATGGTGGTGTTGCATCTAGTAAGACTGACAATAGATGAGATGGCCTGTATAAGACTCCTAGACTTATTCCAGCCAGAGTAATTCAACTCAAACTCTGATCAAAGCCACCCAAAACATTGGAGAAAGACCGGAGGCACTGTTGGTGGATGATATCCAGGTGAGATGGTTGGTGCTAAATGGTGAATCCAGTGGTACATGAGGCCATTGTGAGCCTCCCTGAGCCAGGAAGTATACTGCAGACAACAGGCAAGCTGCCTAGAGCACCTTGTCATTCTACCACGCAGGGACCTATCTGTACCTCGATCAGGGCCCCTACCACCCTGCACTGATAATGTTGGAGACATCTTGCTCAGATGGTGGCCAGGAATTCAGAAGACAGGCTTAGGAGAGATTTGGTCATAATCACAGTTCTCCATGAGTGAGGCAAATCAGATTGCTCCACTTAAAGAAACGGCAAAATAAACTTGGATCATTTTCTGAAGCATTTCGAGCAGACACTGTATGAAATGGCTGGACTCTGAAAAAGGCTCTACAATGTCTGGTTCTGAGTCTAGATAGTTTGATCCTAGACTCTATCAAACACTTATATGAGTAGCAACTCTTGGAGTGCATGACAATCATTAGAGTTGTAACAGAGATTTACCCAGGAAAAAAACAGAGCAATCCAATGAGCCAAATTCTAGACTTGGAAGAGGGATACCACAAAAAAAGGTTAATTGCTTACATAGGTGATCTGCACCAAATGCATGGCTTACCATGCAATTGCCTCAACAGAATGCAAAGATATCTTCATTGAAAAGTTTGTGGAAGGGCTATTCAGTAAGATGATGTGTAATGATGCAGGATGAAGTGGTAACTTTGATCTAGTTGCAAGAGAAGCTGTAGTAGCAGCTTCAGTGACTTTACCTTGGACAGACCATT